CACACTGGAAGGGAATAATTTCATGCCTCAGATGTGTTGTGAAGCATGAGGATGAAGAATAAGTGACTTCAGTCACCTGAGAAGTGAAATGATTCCCAGAAATGCAATGCCTAAAGTATCTTTTTGAAATTATTTCACAGGAATTATTTTAGAAAAGGTCAAAAAGAATTATTAGGTTTGAGATATTAAGGTGCCAATCACACAGGTCGTAATTCACTTTTTAATAAATAAATTCTCTCATCATGCTTTCAAAAATAAAGTGTACATTTTAAAAATTAAAAAGGACCTCCTTGCTCAGGTGAACTTCCACCCTGGCCAAGATCTGCTACAGGAGTTGGGAAAACAGGGTTTGGGCCACTCTGCCTACAAGTGAAGAGACTTTCATGGTGATGTTTATCCAAACCCAAAGCAAGGATCACCACTGGGGAGTGTCCATTTCCTCTTCCTCTGAGTGATCCCTCTGCCACAATATTCCTTGGTTTAGGAACGCCAAAGAAATAAACAAATGTTCTGCACCACTGTATGGGCAAGAGACATCAGTGCTCTCTGGGTCAAGCACCTGTTTGGGAGCAGAGCAGGTATCTCAAATTTTACTCTTAGGTTTGTTGGAGCTTTTGTCACCATTTTATTTCTTTTGCAGAGAAAAATCACTTCTATTCTTCAGGGTTGAAAAACACTTGTGTCTTCTTCGTGCAGATTTCATTTTTAATAAAAAAGGAGGTTTCAGAAAACCTGTAAAATGAGAAATTAAAAAAATCATCCTTCATTACACAGATAACAAGCTACAGTTCTGTTTGCTGAGGCATCATCTCATGGGTTCTACTAGGCAAATTATCAAGTATTGAATGGAAACAACACTTTGGTTTTGGAAAAAGTTTAATTTTTCTTTTGAAAAGAATTGAGCTGTAGCTAATTTTTAAAGTTATATCATTAATCTAAAGTTTAATCTTTAAAGATCACACTCCTACTCTCATTCTTGGTATATGTTGTAATTTGACCATACTAGATACTGTAAAACATTTTCTTTCTTATTTATGTCATTTTATGTTTCTTTAATGGCATGATACTAGGGGGTATCTTATTTGCCTGATAACATAAGGGGAAAAAAATGGTTAAAAATTTAAAGCCCGAGGAAAAGAAAAGGCATTCCAGATTTTAAACCAGAATATTTCTTATTCCTGGTAGCTTATTATGGCTCTGAGGAACTGATCAGAGTATCAGAAGCACTTTTGACATTGCTGTCAAAATGAAATATTTAAATTAAGGGACTTATTTTTGCTCCCCTGGTCAAGCACCACGTACAGGCAAAATGTGATAAGAAATCAAAAGGATGAGGCACACTTGAGGGAGTATTCTCTCAGCCTACTCAAGGCACATAACACAGACGTGATCCCATGTAACTAAGTTTAGCAGCCGACATCCAGCACAGAGGCAATAATGTGTACAAGCAGGTCCTGTCAGAGGGTAGTAAAGAAGATTATTTAGCTCTAAACAACAAAGTCTTACATTCAAGCTAAGTTTACAGGGCATTAACTGGTTGCTACAATGCATTAAATGCTGTAATTTCCTCTGTCTTGCCTGAACTTCTGCTGGTCTTCCACTTTTGGAAAATTATTCTGGGAATAAAGAGAAGTGAATGTGTTGGTCTCAGCACCTGAGAGCAGGAGTGATCCTGCAAGTGTTTGACTTTCACATTAGAAAGGATCAGCCATGGAAGGACTTTGGGGCCTCAGAAGGACTTGACAGCTTTGCATCCTCAAGAAGAGACTGATTTGCTGCCAATTATAAAAAATATATATATACTGGGGTGAGTAGCGGGCTTAATTACCTACAATAAAATTTCTCAGTTTAAGTATTCAAACTGGTAATCATGAAATTATTTTCTCTTAGTCATCATCTTCCCCGTGCCCCTCCCTGCTTTCCCTGTGATCTGGTTTACATGCCCTCATTTGCAAATATTTTTGGGACAATGTCAGGTTGCTTTAGGCCAAACAATGAGATTTCTTATCTATTTTTATAAAATTTAATCCCACTGGCAATGTTGGCTTGATTTCTCTAATGGGTACAATGAAAACAGTGTTTCATTTGGCTTTAAAACTGTGATCACATATGAAACATTGCAGGGCTATGCCAGAGTATGAGGGCCAGGCACCGAAACCAACTAAACAAAAACTGAAACTATGTAGTCTGTATTTTTGTTATGAAATCTGAAAAAAAACCGGGGAGAATAACCCTAAAACCCCCATAAAAGTTGCTTATGTAAATAAATAAATGTATTATATATAGCAATATACCACTGCTATAAACATAGCAATATACCACTGCTATATTGTAACATGCTGCTGATGTGGTATCAGCCGGAGCTGTGGGGTCCCAGATGGGGCAATGTTCATTAACATCCAGCTGCTGGATAATTCATCAGCCAACCAGCACATGGAGTTTCACACCCCTCTTCTGCAGCTCAAGGGGGACCTTGCCCTCCAGCCCACTCCCACTCTGAGTTTAACCCCACAGCAAAACTTTTAGGTTATCTTTGCAAGGATGTCTAATCCACACTAAGTATGCTAATCAAGAAATACCCCCAGGGCCTCTTTGTGATGGTTTTGGTTCTGCATATATGCTAAATCTGCAGTTTTTGGCGTTATCTTGGGTAAGAAGTCACCATCTCTGGTTCATGAAATGCCATTTTCCTTGTCCTGTATAAGAGACAGGTTTCAAACATTATCAACAGACACAGGCTGGGAGATTAGCTCAGAAGGACATGTTCCTAGAGGCAGGATGGATGCTCCTTCTATGCTTTGACCTTCTAATCAAGAGACCTCAGCAGAAATAATTTGGTGGGGAAAGGGGAGGGAAGCTGAGAAGGAGTGTCCACCCTGCCATAGTATGCACAGAGGATATGCTGAACACAAGAGTATAGTGCTTGCAAGCCCATCAATATTTACAGCCAGTCTCTTTTATTTTTTTTTCCTTTTTAATTGTGAGATTCCCCAGAAAGAGCAGTCCCAGCAGCACTATGGTGTGCACTGCCAGATGCCAAGAATCTGCAGCCTCTGAGGAGTAGATGCACTACTCCTACCCCAGTGGTCCTGTGCTGCTCTGGAACACCCTCTGGGATCTGCCACCCTCTGGGAGAGAAACCTGCTTGCTCTTTTAAGGGTATGAAAAACCTGCCTTAACCCATGGACAAATTAAGCAAATATCTGTTAGTGAAATCTCACGGACTATCCCTTCCACCAGTAGTTTTAATTGCAAGTTTTTCAGAGACAGTAGAGGGGTTTAAATCCTGGCTGGAAATCACTAAAACCGCAAGACCATATTACACAGCAGGTAAATGTTGGGAAAGAGCACATTTGAAAACTGGGCTGAAGAAAATGGTGGCTCTCCCGCCTTCTCCAGCACGATTTTGTGAACTCAAATGTCCATCTGGTGTGGTGCTGCTCTGCCTGCACCCACCCCAGGGCCTCGGTGCTGGGCCCTGATGCATTCCAGTGGCAGATGCCCAGAGACTCCAGGCTGGACCCCCCTTTTTCCCAGGGAGAAAAGGAAAATCAGGGAGGTACCTATAGAAACAATATGTCAGTTCTTTGTGGCTTTGCTCCCTCACTGCAGGTACCAGCCTAAGATGGGGCACTGTGTGCTAAAACAGACCTCTTGTAAATATTTCATATTCATGAGACAAGCAAAAAAGGCCTGTCACCACCCTGTGCATTTCTATTATTTAAAGGGTCACTAATCAAGCAGTGAACTTACCTTGCCGACAAATCTCCATACCAGACAATCAATATTCATCTGCTGCTAGCGATACCCTTTCCCCGCCCGCCCTGCATGGGGGTGCAAGCCGGGCTCTCCTCCTCCTCCTCCTCCTCCCTGGGGATTAACACAGCCTGGGCAACGAGCCCTGAGGACTTGGGAGGGTGTGCTGTGTCCAGCACCCCGGGAAAGGGTTTGGATTTGTCGCCATCCGCCGCAGCGGGTACAGTAGTGGCGGGACTGGGAAGGGTTAAAGTTTTGTCTGTGACACTGAAATTGAGGCCAGCTGTAGGTCATATTCATGTCCCAGTCACAGGAAAATGAACCTGTGAGACAGAACCTAATTATCTGCTAAACCAAAAGCCAGTCTCAGTTCAATAACTTACGACAGAGCTGGCAGCCAGATATAGTGTTGTCATGGTAACGCCGAAAAAAAAAATCCACTGCAGTAGAGAACAAGAAGGAAAAGAAGGAGACTGTAACCCTGAATATGCTGTAGCCATTTGATCTTGGACAAGTAGATATGTCTAAAGAGCCAGATTGCTACAACTGTCTATCCACTTTAATATCCTCTATAATTACTGAAATGAAAAATGCAATTACAGTGTGCTCTGAGCTAAAAACCAGGAATAACTGGCTAACTGGGAATTAATTTTAGAGGGAACAATATCGGTTTCTTTCCCCTCTCAACACACATGGACTGAGAAGTACGTGGGGGCTGGAGAGCAGAGCCGCCTGCTTCCTGCTAGTCCAAAATCACTGCATGCCAATCAAACCCTTGCTTTTCCCTATCACCTTCCCCTCCTCCCTCTCCCATCCACAATCCATTACAGACAAGGGAAAAGTTCAGTGGAGCAAAGCACTAAAGATCTCGCTTTGTGGACTGCAATGTCTGAACTACGTGAAGTTGAGGGTGACAAGAGTTTACAGCTCACAGAAAAACATCCTGAGCAGGGCCCCTTGCATGAGACACACAAAAAGGCAGAGCAGTCCCTGATGGAGCCATGCTCCTGGGAGACAGGGGCAAGGGATCCTGTCCCCCCACGGGCTCCTATGGGGAGCTGAACACAACATCCTCAAGCAGAGCTGATGCTGTGTATGGGGCTTTGTCCAGCTGAATCCCCTCAGGTAGCAAAACATAGGACATGATCCTAACAAAGGACATGATCATTGGATTGCTCACCCAGCTGGCCAGGCACAAGGGCACAGAGCAGCACCTTGGCTGCTGGACCATCCCCACTCTGCCAGGACCCTCGGCATGGCTGAAAAAAAGTTTACAACAAATCAGACACCAGTACACACACCAAACACAAAATCAAATTGTGCTTTGAAATATGTATTCAAAAATATAGATCTATATTTATATGTGCACATATTGTTTACTGCTGTGAGGACCACAAAACCTATCTCTGCTCATTTTGGTCAGAGATGCAGATATGATGTTGGAAAGATCAGCAGTGGTTCTGTGAAAGAACATATATCTGTTCATGTGTATTAAAGACAGATTGTAAGTGAAACACCATGGTTAGAACTGTACAATTAAAGCAAATAAGCTATTTATTTGACACTCCTGTATCAGTGTTTCCAGCTTGCTGGAAGAGCTATCTGTGCTTCTCAGAGCAGCTTGCAGAACAGTGAGACTTCACTCCCAGATGCTGGAAACTGCATGGTTTCAGACTCTCACACAGGCATGCTATTCAGACTCAAAATGTTCTTGCATTACTAATTGCATAAGAGACTTCTGAAAAAATTGCAGTGTTTCAGATGGTTAAGGTAGCAAAATAATTTCCAACCTGAGAATGTGATCATGAAATGTTATTGTCCTCATATTTTTACAGTGCACAGGCTTTCTTTCTTCTAACTGGGCAACTGAAGACCAGATCTGGCAATTCTTTTCCAGGGAAAAAAGCTCTTATTCTAGTAATAATACTGTCTGGATAAAAATTACTCATTTAAGTGTGGCACCTTCTGGAGAAGGTTATGTATTCAATCACCAATTCACAGTGCTGTGTGCGTGTATTAAAAGAAAAGTTCATTCAACATATTATTGGCATTATAGCTTTTTAAATAAATTATGCAAAAAACACCCCCAAAACAACCCAAACTTCACAAAAGTCCACAGGCAAGACATCATGTAGAGCTTCATGTCTCTGTAATTTTTTGAGACCCCCATCCTGATCTCATAAATATTTACCATTAGTACCCACTCCAATGAGTAGTTCTGTTGGGGTACTATAGGTGTCTGGTATCTACGGAGAAGTGGAGCATGACCTTTCTACACCTGCACAGTTTTTGTCAGCAGAAATGCAGATCAAAAGATGCCCATAACAATATTTTAAATCAGCCAGCCTGGTGCTTGGCGTGCATGAGGACTCCTAAGGTCTGTGGGTCTAAACCTGATTATGGTGGTCTGATTAATTTGGCCTGATTTTCATCATGGAAAATATGAACGACCTCATGCTTTTCTTTCATTGATCTCTGTGTTTCTGAAATGTTAGCAACTTGCTTCTCTACCAGTCTGAGAATTGTGCTTAGTCTTTTCAAATTATGTAAAGGATTTTTAGGAAAATATCTTTTGGAAATTGGCTTTTATACACTGGTTTTTGGCCTTCAAGGGATCTATGTAAACTGATAACTTGTTTTTGAGAGAAATTTATCAAAAAGGTCTATGAGTCTTTTCTACAAGGATCACTCTCACAGGAAATTCAGAGGTATGCAAGTAACGCAAAAAGAAGAGAAAAAGTATTGGGAAAAGGTTATAAAATTCAGCACAGGGAGCAGAAATTCTGCTTCTATTTAAAAAACTGAACTGAAAAAGACCCTGGTAAAAGACCATCAGACATGGTAAAAGGAAAAAAGTCTTGATTTTGTTATGAAATGTGTTTTTTTTCTCACCTGGGCCTGCAGACATTCTGAGACAGCACTTCCAAAACGAGTGGGCTGCCCTTTCCCTGTCTCTGACATGGATCTGCTGAGGAGAGACAGGCTCATCCTGGGATGGAGCAAAGGGGAGCCCCAGCGTGGGTCTGCAGAACCTCTGAGCAGCAGAGCTGCCTCTGCTCTCTGTGAGCCTGACAGGGCCACTATTAGGGCTGGAGCTTTTTTGGGAAAGATGCACCCACCCTCACCTGTGGTTCTGACAGCACATTTATCACTAACAAATCCCAGGGCTGCACACTTTAAGCTGCTCGTTGTAGCTATGAAAGGGGTTAGCTAGGGTACTGATATATTTACACAGCTGAAATCCAAACGTGTGCCTCAGTTGGTGTTCTGACATTTGTTGAAAACAGACCAAAAAGAGACCAATTAATAAAAAATGAGAGCATAATTTTGTAATGGCAGAAGCATTACAGACAGCTATTGGTTAAAAAGTCTACTTTTTACCATCAACATTAAAAAATAAAGAAGAAATTAAAGGAAGAGAAATCACGACCTGACCATTACGGCAGTAACTGTGGTCAAATGCTGTCCTGTGTCCCCATATGAAACTGCAGCTTTCATAAATCTGAGCTACACCAAGTATCCACTGACATATTTTATTAATTTGTGCTTTTATCCAACCTCCTGAAAATATAAACTCAGAAAATTGAAGCTGGTTATAATAGTCACAACTGAGTGAAGTTCTCGAGAGTACAGTGGAATGGGACAGGTAACACAGGACTTGATTTCATATGTATTAAGTGTCTGTTGCCTTTTGTGATGTCTTGAAGCATCTGAGACATCAATGTGAGGCTGGCAGGTATGTCACACAGTTCCAGTGGACTTGCCATTTTTAGGAGTAGCACCAGTAGGATGCCTTAAGACAAATGCCCTAAGACAAATGGCAAGTGTAACTTTACACTTTCTAAACATTTCTAATGACTTATGGCTCCTCCAAAGTCCCAAGCACTAAATTTTAGTCAGGCCTGAAAGAAATTCCAAATAACCATACGAATCCATTTTGATTTGTCTCGTCAGCAGGGCTGTAATATGCCCTAATATACTGGCATTATGCTGCAGAGTGGCTGTACTTGATCTAATTCCACTAAAATCAGCACTTACTATTAGATGCTAAATTTTGTTCTGGAAATGAGAACTCAATCACTGTATTAAAAAGCGAGGACTGTGAATTACATCAGGGAGAGTATTTGGTAATATCATACAATTTATAAATTGTGATGCTATAGTTACTTTAAAAAATCATGTATAGTTGACATGAATCATCCAATAAAGCTGCTGTATTAAAAGCAAAAGTCTCTGTTTAAACTAAGCAGTTAATATTTAAACTCATGTTCCATTAAAAATATGCCAGGATAGTTTTGCATCATGTGAAATGATACACAATGAGGCCACTTGATTTGATTCTATTTTTGTTGCAGTTTGTAGATCCTGAGCAAAGCAGTTAAATATACTTTGATGGAATCTAAACAGAACCTTTCCGTCTTGGAATATAGACAGTTTAGACTCTTTTTTCCAGGGCTAGCATTCTACTTTGGTTCAGGCTTCAAAGTAAACTTCTCATCTTGTCCTTGAAATCCATGACTAGGTTGATGTGATGTCCTGGGTGAAATGCCTTCCAGGGTTCATTACATTGTCCCCCATGTAATTTGGGCATATGTTAAGCACAGAAGGATCCAGCTCATAGTATGGAGCTTTTTGAGACTGGAAATAGTTTGTGTCTTGTAAGGATGGTGGCCACTCTTCAAAATGTTTAAATTTGATGGTGACACCTTAGCAACTGAGGCCAAGGGCTCCCCTTGACTTTAACAAGGCCAAAGCATTCCTTTATGGGAACTACAATGCTGAGAGATGCTTCTGTCTTCCAGGACATGCTTTATACTGATAAAAACAGTCGTGAGAACATCACAGTGCCAAATGTCACAGTTCTGATTTAATCCACCTTTAAGTCTCTCCATTGTACAGAACAGTGTGTGGCTGGAGAAGTTTGCCAATAAGCTACACGTATCAGAAAAAATCATTGGCCCCAGGTAAAATCTCTCATGTGACTGAACATTAAAAATTGTCCCTGACAAGAAAACACTTTGTGACAAATGAAGTGAGCATAATGATGCAGGTTACACAGAGGCATTGCACCTTGGAAATCCATGCAAACCACTTACACACGGCTCCAGCATTTTCTCAGTCTTCCGTGGATGAAAATGAATCTGCAGAACATGTAGATATTTGTAATCAAGGGAAGATACCATTGTTATCACACCAAAAGGGTTCAGAAAATTAAAGCACAAGTAATTAAACACATACACAAAAGAAAAGAAAAATTCTGCCAAGGGTGCTTAAGTAGGTTGGTACCAGCTATTAGTCACTGCACTGAATTCCACAAGAGACAGAAAAAAAAAGAACCAAACCACAACACAGAAGTATCACTTTACTTGTCCTGATCTTATCCTTTTCATTGGGCATGTCCTAGTGGCTATTGTCAGAGGAAAAGGATTCTGGGCTAGATGCTAGCAATTTGCTGGATTGTTAGCATTTCTCTCCACACCAGATGTGTTTCACTGCTCTTTAAGATGTGCTGTGATAAAGCCCACGGACACTGTCTAGACACAGCACAGAGCTAAGGCCTTGGGAAATCATTTGATGCCCTGTGTCTGTGTTATATATGCATGATTTTAATGAGCTTCTTACAGGTTTTCCAGGAGTACAGCAGCAGGCAAGATACACACAAAGAGAGAAAAATCCTTACCTTTGATTTCACACCTGTTGCTATAGACACCACAATGTGTTCCACTCTATCCTGTTTAAGGGGCTTAAACGTGGAATGGCCATCAGATATTTTTAATCCTCTGTATGCTAAGGATGCTTTTCCTTTCTCAGTTTCACACAGGAATGCATCTGTTGGCAAATTTAGGCACAGCTTACTCACTGGCTTAGATTCTCATACATGCATTACCTCACACCACCTTCCTTTTTTTAACCAGCGTCCTCTAGATGGTTTTGTTTTGCCAAGTAAGAAAACTGAAATTTTGCAGAGCATGGTGGCTCCTTGTGAAACTATTGGAAAGAGCATTTCAGGGTCAGTTTTGGACCTTCAGTCACTGGAGGTCTGATACCACCTCAAAGCCTTCACCTTCAGCAGTGGCCTTGCTCCAAAAGGGGATTTGTGCTATGGATGAGAGCAGTCAGAGTGAAGGACACTCGGAATCATATTTACTTGCACTTGTTACTGCAGCACTTCTATGGGTGCTACAGTCACTAAGCTCATTTCCCTCCCTCCTTGGATGAGAAATATCTTGTCTTTACAGTACATTCTTGCCACCCAAGAAAAAAAAAAAAGAAAAAAAAAGAAAAAGCCACTTTAATTCCATTTGCTTGGGGATTATTTTTGGCTCTTCAAATAAATAAAAGTGCAGCTGAAATTTTTAGAACTTCTGGGCCATTTTTGCTACAGAAAGGCTGTCACAAGCAGGACAATTTATTGCACAATGGGGAGTCCTGGTGTGCCAGCAGTGCCACCAGTGTGGAGCACCCCATGGGAATTCAAGTGTAGAGAGCAGATCTGTGGCATCACATGCACTGTACCTGCTTTTTCATCCTTCCTGTGCAGGGAAGCTACTGCTTTTGGAGGTGGGAAAAAGGTAATGTAGGTTCAGGAGCTATGTCCATCACCTTCAGCAGGCTGTCAGAAAAGGCAATGGTATCACGTCCTGTGATGCACTGCACACATACATATTTCTGTAATTTTATACTTTATGTGGGAAACTAGAGTCGTTGCATAGAGCAACTAATCCTCCAAAAAAACCATGGAAATTCTGAATAAGATGAAAAAAAAAAAAAAAAAAAAAAAAAAAAAAAAAGAGAAAGACCATATTTGGAGTATCCCAAGATTTGTGCAATGAAATTGATTTCCATTCAAATCAGATCTTTTACTCTTCTTGAAAATGTCAGGGTGTCAGCCTTGGCCATTACCAGACTGTGATTTATAGCTGAGGCAGAGCAATAATACTCAGGTGACTGTCTGGAACTGTGCTGCTGTGTCTGGAAAGGCTACAGATGACAGCTTCCTCCTTTCTTAACCAACTTGCATTGCTTATCTAAGATCAGTCTTCCCCCATCCCTCCTCCCCAAACACAAGATAGGAAAATGATAAAATGTATAGGCTTGCAGATTTACTGAGATGAGGCAAATAAGCCTTGTGAAGGGACTAGGTTTGAGAATTTTGGAGAAACATATTAAAAATAATCCTTTAGCTAGCTATATCCTAGCTGTTTGGACGGATACCTGTAAAATGTGAGACTGATTGCCTGTCTTCAACACATGGGTATGTTTTAATCCATCTGTAGGATCTATTTCTGTAACTCGAACATACAAGAAACATAGGAAATGCTGAAACCAAGCAAGCTTTCAAATAGTAAGAATAATACAGCTGCTATCATTTCCTTCTGAAATTAAACTCAATTTATTCAATAAATAGATTAATGGAGGTCAAAAACTACCTGGCTAATAATTACTCAAACACTGATAAGCTAATTCTGTTATTTCTCTCATTGACATAAGGTTTTGCTTAAATAAAGGCAACAGAAGTACTTAACAGTTTAGGTGATAAACTCCTACTAATTTTAACTGGAATTGGGAACTTTTAAATACCTAAAAAAAGACTTTTCCAAATCATTTTCTCTCTTTATGCCTTTAGCTATACTTGTGATCTCAGTATAGTGAAGCAAAGAAGAGAATAAACAAGATAAATGAGTAAGTAAGTCAAACAAAAGAAGAATTACTAGCAAGCTAATAATACCATTCCTGACATCAGCTTTCTCATTCTGCTATTACTATTTGCAGAAGATATTGACAAAATGGAAAAGACTCAAACAAGAACAAGCAACGTGGTCTGATCTTCCCAAAAATCTTAGAGTAAGACAATGAAGACAATCTTATTATTTTATCACTGAAAATCCTAAGAGGGGGAAGGAAGCAAATGACCATTTAAATTGTCAGGAAAATTAAAAAGATAGCTGGAAATGAATGCTAAACAAATTCTAATTGGAAATAAAGCCTATGTTTTTGATATTGGTGTAATAGACTACTGGGAGAGTGTTCCAGGAGGTTATTATGGATTCTCTGCCATCCCAAATCCTAAATATACATGCTAACCAAACAGAAATTGTTGGTGTTGACGTGGGAGTTGCTTGGTGAATGCTTTGGCATGTTTTATGGAGGAAGTCAGACTGGATGATTGAGTTTGCCTTGGCAGCGGACAGGATATTTCTGCTGTGTGTGGGACACACAAGGGAGGAGAGCAAGCGGGAGGGAAAAGGAGGGAAAGAAAGAAGGAAGGAGATGCCTGGCTGTATTTCTAGCCTAGCCCATGTAAGGTGCAAGTCCTACGTGGTACCAAGTTTCCTGGTCTAGTGAATAGCATATGGTATTTGGAAGCAGAGAGAATATAGGAAGGCATCCATGGTGTTCACAGATTGCATTCATCCACAGGTTTTACCACAGGCAGAAGTGCCTTCAACTCCTCTCAGAAGAGTACTGCAGGTATTAAGTTCTGCTGCCATTTCATAATCCAAGCTGAAGGATTTTTTTACCATGCTAAAATCACACAGAATTGAGACACACACATTCGACCGATTTATACAAAAAGGATGAGCCAGGGACTCTCTGAGGAGCTTCTCCTTTGCATTCATTTTCTTACTTGCTTTTGCAGAAGAATCTTTGGGACCATTAAAAATATCAATCTGAAAAAAGTAAATGTGTAGTTTGAAGAGTTTCGATGGAAACTGGTTGACTATTGGGATCTGAGATCCTAGAGCTTGTTCAGATGCCACCCTCTCTTTCCAAACACTGCACTAAGTTACTGTCAGTAACTGAAGGATAAACAGCGGAAATAAGATGGTAAAAGAAATGTATAAAACGTTCCTTCACACTACCACACTAAATCATGACCTCCTGCTTTGCTAATATTTGCTTTATACTGAGGTCTCAGAGCTCTAATAAAATCCAAGGTCCCTCTGTGACAGTCACTGTGCTCCCATTAGTGAGTGGTGTTCTCCACCTGAAAGAGCCCACACTGGGCCTGGACAGCATGGGAAAATGGCAGGGAAGGAGAGTAAAGCTCAAGGGAACTTGTCTGCATTCATCATGGGTGCCAGGAAGTGACCCTAAATCTTTAGCCATCGATGCAGCAAAAAAAAGCACGTAGGCAGCAGTTTGGAAACATTTCAAAGGGGTTTAAAAGTGTTAGTTATTGCATGTAGTAATTTTGATTTCCCACTAGCATTAAGGGAATGATTACCAAATTTCAGAAAGCCAAGCTGTAGTCCTTGGAATTTATTAACTCATAAAAGCTTACCAAACTCAACACTCAGATACTGGCAAGAAATCTAACCTTCTGAGTCAGCCAGGAGAGGTTTCCAATGCTGCACTGGTAACCTGCTTCACTTCTAAACATCCAGCCACTGTTTAAAAACCAGGTGCCTCAATGGCTCCTAAAACATCAATATTTTGACCATACTCCTCTATTTCAGTAGAGAATTAAGTTTGAGAATTAACATCCAAAGTAATATGCCAACATAATAAACAGCAGAAAAGCACAGTCTACTATGTTTATTTAAAATGTCACAGTAAATCTAGCTCCCTGAATACCCCAGTGCACGTATATAAATAACATCAGCAAGAGCTATAAGCACTGTGTATCCTCAGACTTGTGACAAATCTTCCTAACAGAGGGGTGAACCCTGTGCTTCAGTGGAGAGCTATAAATTCCACCACAAAATGGCTGTGCCGGCCATTTCATGTGCTGGGTTTGCTGAGCACTGATCCCTGTGCTTTTGGGACACCGTGCCATAGGGATGGAGAGAGGCTGTGTCTGGGTTAGGCTCATCCAGCTGCTGCAGGATGGCAGCAGTGTGAGAGTTTGTGGAGCTGCCTCCTGTAGGCCCAAAGCAGAACTAGGATCCCTGAGTGCAGCATTGGAAATCTCTGTCGAGTTGGGCCGACTGTCAAACCTTCTGGAATTATGAATCTGGCTAAATGCTGGTAGAAAACTTTCCTGCACATCACCATCAGAAACTACCTCTGCTGAACAGAGCAGTAGAAAATTATCCCTAGCCTGCTCTTCCCAAATCACACTTATTAAATCTGATGTTCCATAAATGAACCTCCTTTCTGATTGTGCAGAGATCAAGGCTATCATGCCATTCTTCAAAAGAAAAGGAGAAAGAAGATCTTTATTTTGAAAACTGCAACTAACAACCTAATATCCTATGTCTGGTTGTTTCTGAATGGGGCCAAGGGAGGAAATGAAGAGTCTGCAAAAATTTACATGTAGGGGCAATTTATACATCCTTCATGTTCAGGATGAAGAACCACTGTGGAGAAAAATGCAATCAGTGGGAGAAAGGCTGATTTAAACTCCTAGGAGAACAAAGCCAGCTTCTTTTAGGGCCTTACAGCGAGGCTATGGAAGGGGCTGAAACAAAGAAATGAAGAGAAGAAAGGGAGAGGTGATTGTTACTCACTAGTAAGATTCTATTTCACAGAATAACTTTGGCAGAAGAAAAGCACCCTTGTCCAATTCTCTGGCATACCAACACCCACATGGACAGAAACATTTTAGTACTAGAGAGTGAGTGAGGATGCCACAATCAAACTTTTTCTAGACACAAAGTTTTCCCCCTGCACTTCAAAGGCAGTTTGCAGAGGAGAGAGATAGAGGATCAGACAGTGAACCATGAAGACTTTTCCACTGCTAACTGTCTCACTTGTATGAAAATCAGTATATAAACTGGATAAACAGAATCTGCTTCTGTATGCATTGGAGGTACTCACTTCATCTGATTTATTGTCATCCGATGGAAATGCCTTAAGCAAAGGGATGCACTATGAAGAAATGCATTCTACTAGGAAAGGCTTGAGTTTGAAATTAAATCCTGTGCTAAACTTTTCAAGAAGTACCTACCTTCACTGAAGTCTTTTCATAGCCCTGCTTATTTCTACTTTAAACTTCTCATTTATTGTACTTTAAGCCCCATCAGTGAATGTAAATGGGGTTTCACTATACGTTTAGTGCATTCAAGCATTCTTTGTTACAGTTCCCACCCTGCCGCATTATGTGAGCTCTGCCACGGAAGTCCAGCAGTCGGTTTGTTTTCTGCTATTAATAAAAGAACCTACTTTTCCGCACTTCTTTGAAGAAGTTGAAAGGGCTACATGTTGGAGGGGGAGGTGGTGGGGAACAGACTGTGGTGTAATCCCCAAACGCAAATGCTGTCTAGATTAGAAACCTCCCCGAAGAAAATTTACAAATGCTAAGACTGTGCTTTTTGTGTGAGGAACACTAGAGCAATAACTTAGCCACATACTGGGTTCTGCCTAATGCTTAGGGAGCCCACTAGGTGAAAGGAATTAAATGAAAAATAAAATCTTCCAGTTGGCTCTGTGCCGATGCCATCCAACCCTTTTGGTATCAAGTGACTTACTAATGCAACTATTTTCATGTGTATTTCATCACTGACGTATCTTAATATAATACTTAGGAATCTGTTAAAATAATAATAACAAACACACAAATGGGATTTACACATTGCCAGTGTTTTTACATAGTCCAGGAAAAGCTTAATTAAAGGGGTGGGACGTGTCTCTGCTGAATAGCTGTTTTTCCTTCATACCTTCCCATGCATGACACGTACACATCCAAGAAAAGAAGTTGGGGGTGGTGGTGGTGGAAGAAAACCACCCAAAACCAAAACCAAAATTACCAGCCCTAAACTACTCAGCACAACCTTGTTGATTTGCTTGGCCATTTAAATAAATGGACATGCTTCTTGTAGAGAATCACGGCCCCAGCGCAACAGCTAACGAGTAAAAGAAAAGTACAGAATATTGTCTGTCTTGTTCCCTATAGAATACCCATATTGCTCAAACTATCTTTACCATATCTAGTTTATCCCACAATTACAACTAATCTTTAACTCCTAAATAAGTAGGAACAGGCGTAAAGATTGCACTTCTGAAAGCCTACCAGATAAACTTTAGTCTGTAGTCAACTGGAAGATTCTGTGATTAGTTTTAAGTCCTACTTAATAGGTTAAAGATGTTTTTAAAGATGACATAATTTTATTGTGTTGATTTTATTAATCTTTCAATTATTCTCTAAGGCTCCCATCCACTTGTTGCTACTCAGGCACTGCAAGTGAAGCTCATCAATCAATTGAGCTGGATTCTGGTCAGAATATAACTCCCCATTAGAATCACTCTAGTGTTGCCAAGGAGTGCAACAACACAGCATCCAACAAACTTGGAAGATGCCTATTGTAATCATCAAACAATGAAAATCTTAACAGGGTGATGAATGCCTCAGATAGATTGTTTGGACAAACCATTATTTGAACATAATAAAACAAATCTACTTTTAATTGAGTGATACAGTTTCAGCTGGCATTTTTATAGTAATCCAGATATATTTTTTCTATTGTGTGACTACCTAGCTAGTTATAGACTTCAGACTCAGATGGCAGGCAGTCTTTCTATCTTTTTTTAAATTTTTTTTGTAGGCTACAGTTGGCCCCTAAGAGGAGATGACTGCTTGTCAGTGTGAAATTATGTACCTAGTCAGGAATTGAGCATAATCATCACACGGGCGAATCGAAATGATGGCTACATTTACTGTCTACAGAAATTTCTGCTGCACTGCATATTAACACACTGAAAATGTTGTGTTAGCTTATCGTGGATGTGCCGATTTTCATTACCCACGGAAATGCAGAACATCTCCTGTTAAACCTCATTGACATTTTTCATCAAGTGAATAGAGCAATGCCCTGAAATGTGGTAATTGTAGATTCTTGTTATACAACTTCAAGTAAAATATTCTTCCCTCTAATTCCAACAGTAATTAACTTGGATTGGAATTCCCTTGACTCGTGTAGCAGTCTTCAGCACTGTATTAATGGATCTTAGAGTTTATATGGTTGGAAAAGAAATCCTGTCCCATATATACAAAGGTGCTAAAGATTTTCAGGTTAATGAAAAGAATTGATCAAATCACCCCAGCTTGAGCTATGAGCTTTTTTTTGCTTTTTTTTTTGCTTTGTTTGGGTGAAATATGAAATGGTATATTGCTGAAACTTAAAATACCTCAAAAGTGAAGCTCCAGAAAATTGTTGCATCTCCCATGAAGAATAAAAATTAAAGTAGACAATTATCATAATAATAACTCAATTGTACATGGCAGACAAAAGAGAAGCTAATACTTCCCTCTATTTTTTTGACTGATGTTTTGTTGGGCTATAGCTAAACAGCACTTTAGGTTGACAGTAAATTAGCAAACAATATGAGCGGGGAAAAAAGAAAAAAAATCATGTGGGGGTTAAGATGTTTATGTAAAACAGTGATTTTCCTTTTTGAAATTAAAACGTACAAATAAGCTGGTGTCAGAGCCTAGGTGATCCTTCATTTCCACCGCATTGAGCAGGCTCCCATCAGCAGCAGACAGCCGCTAATATATGCGTCTGGCTCAGTCTGCTCCACCAACTAGGAACCCATCGAATTGTTAATATCAGTCCTTTTTTGTATGCACCACACATCTTTTTCACTCTCTCTCTCTCTTCCTCCCCCTTTGCAAGAGCTTGTGTTTTTGTTTTTTTGTTTTTGTTGTAGCACAAGCTGATTACTCTGAAATCACTTATTAAAGAGCATTTAAATGGCTTTTGCACTGAAACAACATCAAGTTGTATAGAAATATATGATTCCTATATATAGAAATGTATCAAAATTCTGCACATATATCTAAGCATAGCATACTGAATATTATGCTTTCTATTTATTTGTGCTAATAGAGACAGCTTTCATATTCTGTCACTGGGTAAATGGGACTGCTTCCTGCATGGTCCCTGTAGGCGTTGTCACGCAGCTCCAGGACACAGAAAGACGTTGTTGATCCTGGTGGAAATTCTGCATGACTGAAGACCCTGCTTCTTCCTCTCTCCATCCACCTCTGCCCTACCTGTGCACCTGAGGCTGAGCTGGCTGTGCTGACACTGGGGAAGAAGAGGGAGCAGGCAAAGAGGCAGGCAGTGCACCAGCTTTCCCATCACCATGGCAAGGGGCGGCACTGAGTATGATGGGCAGAGTGGAGCCACTGGAGTCATCCCAGTTCAAGCAGGAATGCAGAGGCAGGACTGCGTATTCACGACTTTTGCTGGAGCACCAAATACGCCAGGCAGGGGTGTATAATGATTCATTTTCTTCTCACTCTCAGTGCAGGGCAGAGCACAGCAGAAATCTTCAGACTGACAGAGACAAAATGTTTCACACCACAGTTTCACCTTCATTGTACATACAGTGTTAAATGCAAAATTAATTCAGAGTGCTGAATTTGAACTATCTTCATTCAAGAAAATTTTGCTGATCGAAAAATAAATGCAATGACGATCTTTGATATGCATAGATGGGTGCATCTTACAGCTGATTAAATCTATAAGGACTTTTATTTCGACAAACTCTACGTGTAATTTAAATTATATATTGACATGTATATAACAACACACAGTATATTTTTATCTCATTATACAGCTCGAATGAACAGAATATGTGTTCACCTGATCAGTATCTTAAATAATCTGTTTTCAGTATTGAAAACTGCTACAGAATATATGTAAATTCCTAACAATGTGTTTCACGAGTGTAGCACCTACCTGGGTGCATTTGTCTTTCCTATACACATTCCAATCTACTTTTCCAATATTTCCTAAACAGAAATCAACGTTGAATATAAAATTTGTGTTAAAAAGGTTACCTCTGCATCTGAATTTTTGCAAGTAGCTCTTTTGGGTGTTCTTAGCATGTGGGACTGACAGTTTACGAAGAAAAGAATTACATATTTACAGGAACAGTATCATCATTGTAATTGCTAAGGCAATATTTTTTATGACTATTTAAAGACTAATTATATCTTGAGCAACTTGAAAACTATGTACTGAGCATAGTTTCTGTCTCTTAAAAAAACAAGACAAGAAGAAAAAGTATTATACTAACAGATAAGAACAATTTATTTAAACAATAGTGTTGATGCTTACAATAAAACACAATTCCTCCCACACAAGTGGGAAAAATATACTGTAGCCAAAATACCACTTTTGAAATGAACAAATAGTTTAGATGCCTGATCTGTGTGAAGCCTTTGTTTCAGTGAAGTCTGATGTATCAACAAAATCCTTCAGCATCTTGGTTAGACACAGGAAACAGAGAAAAATGACTCAGAACTAACTCACCTATAAAATATTAAGAAATACAAATCAGATGACGTGTTTTAGATCAGATGTTTGAGACAAATAAGCAGTGCAGAATAACTCATGTGCTTGTGAATCTCCTTATGCAAAGTCAGTGAAGAACTTAACACATGAGGGACAAGCTACAGCTCACACTGGTTATTTTCAGAGGGATAAAAAAATATAAGAAGTGATGGAGAAGTTACAAGTTGAGTCCGGTGCTTAGAGTATTGTGGGTTTGCTTTAAATTGAACAGGTACAAGAAATATGTTTCTGAGTGCAGAGGGCTGTTAATGCTGTAGCATGATTTTTAAACCAATATTCTCTTTCAGATTAAAATGTAAATTAAATGAGAGAATATTTTAAATGACATATTGTGTTCTCACTTGGACAAAGAAAAAGGATGGCAAGTAAGTACAAAATACTCTTTGTTCCATGTTACAGGAAAAGCTAAGCAACAGTTTTCCTGTAGACTGAAATCATTATTCAAACAATAGAATTAATGTTTTCTAGGCCTCAAACATCAGTGTTTATGTTTTATGTTTTAAAAGTCAATTGATGCTTGAACAGTAAGGATGAATATATTCTTTTTGGTAATTATTTATTAGAATTGTCCACAATAATAATAATAATAGTAATAGTATTAATATTATAGTTGGAAATATTTTATATATTTTAGCATCTGTTTTGAATGGGAGTTTTGTTGTTTTTATTGTTTGGGGGGAGTTTTTTCGTGCGAACTAACATCCAGGTTAAATTATAATTCTAAATGTTACATGACATCTAGTCCAGTTTTCTAAACATATAAAAATGTAACATCCCAATGCTGCACGATGAGTAACAGTTGTTTGGATTTTTTTTCTTTTTTTTTTTTCTTTTTTAGGACATCTACAGTTCTGATGCTTAACATTTAAAATAGTTATATTTTCCTTTTTACCCTTCCAGGCAAGGAAAGCTCCTTTGGTTCTCTAAATTCTGCAGAGAAACAAACACAGTCCAAAGCTGCTGGTTCCCCTCCGCCTAGGTCCCAAGAGCCTGACTTGTGATTGTTGCTAAAAAACCTCACAAGTTAGGGTCTCAGGGACTAGGAAAAGTCCGATATGATCCAGAAGAATTCGTCTTCCAATAAACTGAATTGTTTAGTAGTCATAATCGCTGTCACCAAAACTTTCACTGCTATTGTTAAATAGAAAAAAAACCCCAAACCCAAAAGAAACCCTAAAATCAATGTCCCGTCCCCCCACCAAATCAACACCACCTCCTTCCCCCCAAATAAACAAACCACAGTTTCAAGTAGGGGGCAGAAAAGATCAAATAAGCAGGCAAGACGCATACATACATTCGAACAATGTATCAGCTGACCGAACAGACTTTTCTGAGAGTATGGTCCTTAACTTTTGAAAAGAAAAAACAAAGAACACAGGATAAAAATCTTCTCTGCCTTGTCTGACAAGTAGCTATGTTACTATAATGCATCAGAGGGAAGCGTCTACAAATGGGTTAAAATCTGCTTCCAGCAGATTTGTACAGTAACAATTTTGTTCTATTTCCTTAATGCCTGAAAGAAGGATTAAATGCTTGTTAAGGGGGTTCTAATTGAAATATTTCCCCGGTATACTTTTAGTCCTGCTGTTCAGGTGGGCCCTGGGTTACAGAGTACTTTAAACCCATCCTCGATGCAAGGATAACCTTTGGGCGTGTATTCACTTTTTGCCTCTTCCCCACGTTCCACATTTAATCCTTCTACAGACTGCTAGAAAAAGCTTCTTCCTTTCCAATGGCAAAACTAGCCTTCACTCCATAAGCTGCAGAAAACATTGACATGCAGAGATTGTTGTCACTTGAACCAGATTACTCAAAGCACACATAACTTTCAAATACTGTCGATACAGTAGGAAGAATTGCTCGGATTTCCCAAATAATTTTGTTCTGAAGCCGAATACTTTTAATGGCACGACCGCAATCCTGAATTACTTTTGCATTCATTCTCCTCTGATCTTTAGCCTTGTTTGCAGAATAAAAAGGAAAATTTCTACTTTAGGGACAGGATCCATCGTGGCTTTTTTTTTTTTCCTCCATCAGATCCCAGGGCAAAAGAAACAGCAGCCATAAAGGTCCTAGCCACTGGAGCAGAATCTGGCATGGAAAACTCAGAGCTCTTCGGGAAGCCGTTCAGCTTTAAAAAGGAAAAAAAAAAGAGAAGGGGGGGAAGAATTAGAATCTCTGCTGGTCGAACAGGTGAACCATCCATTTACAAGAAAGCTGTACAGAGTGCTCTGCCGAAGAAAAGATTTGCCAGTGCCCCCCACCCCCACCCCTGCCCTTCACCCTCCCTTCCAGACTGATACTTCAGATTTCAGAACATTTTGGATTATTTACAATATTATTTCAGCTGATGATATAATGCAACATTATATAAGAGCTGTTCCTTTGTCACTGTGCACCATTCAATCAGTTATGCCTCAGACACAAAATAGTTAAATGAAACAAAAAAATATATATATACATATATGAGAGAGATATATATGTATAGCAGTCCCTAGATTTCATTCAATTTCTTTTTTTAAAGCTGATCAGGATTTAACAAACAATTTTGACCACAGCTTTCAAATCAATAATTAGAATGAAAAATCTCTCCCCTCTATAAATATGACATTAACATAATTATACCACCCCCATCGCATAGACCCATCCTCTTTAGGGAATACATCTGATGCTCTGAAGATGGAAATCAGTCAGATTTTAGTTGCTCTCGAACGTACCTTTGCTTCTCACTGACTGACTGGCTTTACCTTCCATGCACACACACACACACACGGTCACAGCACACACTCACACTCACACACACACATGCGCACACACACACACACACACACACAGGCACAGAAAGGCACGGCAAAGCAGCGGATGCTGACTCAGAGCAGTTGTGTGTGGAGGGGGTGGTATCGGCTGGTATTTTCACTGCACTCATCATTAACATTAACTCACTCTCTAGCATCCACCCTCTCTCAGACCTGCTGGACTGCAGCATTTGCATGACGCTGTCACTCTAGCCCTTGTGGGTCAGATGTTAGAAGAAAAAAATAAAAAACAAAAAAAAACACCTCAAGGCTCTCATAAGGAATGCCTTCATTTCTTCCAAAGGGTCCCTCTTCTTATTTTTCCACCTTTCTACTTCCTCTGTTGCTGTGTCTCAGTTGTTTGACATCTTTCCGGAAGAAAATGTCTTGAGCTGCAATAAGCCAGTAGTCAGTCGGTCCTCCCCTCACCTCACACTCCTATTCCCACCCCCTTTTTTTCCTAATCAATAAGACAGATCTCCAAATGCAGTTGTGAAAACAGGCTCTGACACACAGACTTTCATCCTCGATCCTCTGCCTCAGGAATAGCAGGCAACCCAGGCTCACACGTGATGTAGAGAGAAATAATGCCAGTAATTCTTGAACAGTCTTAGGAGTTTATTCTACGCCTTCTTCATTTTTTCCTCTGCTCGAATAAATACCAGTGGGAAGGACACACTAGCTCTCAAAAGCTACAAGGATCCACTTCTTCAGAAAATAATGAACATTAAAAGACTAATATTAATCTTCCTCAAAATTAATGCTATCTTCCTCCCCCCTTCATTGTACTCTTTATAAGTAGGAATTGTCTCATAGCCAAAACCCTGCCAGGGTCTGAATCACCATTCACTGTGCTGAAATCGTGAGTTTCTGGGCTTCAATTGGCATTTAACTGGACTAAGCAATTTTTTTCCTCTTTTTCTTTTCTTTTATTTTAGACTTCTTAGTTAGAATAAAATAAAAAAATAGAAGCTGCCTGTATCAAAGGGAGCACTGCAAGAGAACAATGGCAATACACCCGCACCACCACACTGAGTACTGAAAATGCATGTTTGAGCCCCACTTGTGTATTTTTCTGTACGATATTTGCTCCGTTTTGGTAGAGAAGTCTGAACACATACATACACACCGAATACACACACACAGAAACTGAAGACATGTATAGAAAATATACAACACAAAACAAAGCACAAAGGCTGATAACTGAAACACAGGCACAAGTTGTCTGACAGGCTATGAAAATCCACAGAGTATAATCATTGTGTGCATTTTTACCTTGTTCCTTTGTTCTTAAGGCAAGGGACTTTAATGGCTTACGGTGTTGACAGTCTTTCGGCTTTTCCCTTTTTTACGCCAACAGTATTTGGGAATTACTTTTCCAGACAATACCACACCACTGTGATTCGCGGTATAGAAATTATTTACCAGAGGGGGGGACAGGTGATACGCAATTCACCAGCCAATTCTCTGAGCTGCCTGGTGCTGTGGAAGCCCTCGGCGTAGCCGGGCGGGCAGGTCCCAGGATGCAGCGCTGCAGTCCCGGCTCAGGTAGCCCTTTTGGCAACCTTACGGCAGCAGCAGCCAACGGGAAGAGCATCCACTCGCAGGGAAGGTCCAAAAAGAAAATACCACACAGCCCCAGAGTAAAGGAAGGAAGCCAAAATGCCAGGTAAACGCCCTAAGCCCAGCTAGTGCGCGCTTGGGACCAGTCGTGGTGATGGTGATTGATTTCTTAGGAAAAGGATGGAGGAAAGTAGACAATTAGGAAACAGTTAAGTTTGTAATCTCGGAGAAAGGGAGAGACGGAGACAGACACACACCCACATACAGAGAGCGAGCGAAGAACGCCAAGCATGAGACAACAAAAACAAGACCAAAATCAGATTTGGGAAACTGAAAAAATACAGGATTACAGCATTCAGCTTAGCAGTTACTGAGGTATATGAAAAAAAAAAAAATTACCACATGCACAGCATGGCTTAAAATACTTATTGCCATCAACAGTCTGTGACGGATGCCGGCTTCTTACTGCTATACGTACATTAGATTGGTCATCGCCTCTTAATCTCCTTTTGCTCAGACCCATCCATTTTTTGCTGCTCCAGCATCTGTGCCCTTTATGCTTTTTTTCTGTATAGTTACCCACAATACCCTGGATAAATTAATGTCATGACCTCACTATGGCTATCAGAAAGAAAAAAAAAGTCTACTATTTTAATAATTGAACGTGCACGTACAGCAAACTGCCTACTGATAGCCCAGCTTTGTGGACTGCCTCCAAAAGCAGCCTTTGCTAGCTCTGCGAATCAGAGACAACAGATGCAAATACTGGCCACAGAGCCCCAGCTCTCTGCCTTGCCTTTTTTTTTTTAAAAACCCACCCTTTTCAGTCTGTGCCACTTCATTTTCCCTGTGCCTCTTCCCTCAATGGTTAAAAACATTAGCCTGATGAAATTAGAGGCATCTGAATAAAAGGATGAAGATGAGTGAAAATTATAAATGGTTGCAGATTCTGGAAATTTATATCCAGACGGTGAGTAGGGAAGGGTACCCAGGTTCAAGTGCTGAGCCTCACTCGGGAGCACCTCTGGGGCCAATGGGACTGCAGACTAGATTAAATCAATAGTCGTCTGAAACGAGATGTCGTAATCAATCAGCTCAATTACCACTGTCATAGATCTGGGCTTAAGGTCTTTCCTGATTCCACTCTTCTAATCATTAACCCTTATACATCCTCATAATAGGAACTCACGCTTGCTCTGCTACCCTACCTTCAGACCAACAAAGTTTAGCTTATCATTTTCTTCTCTTTTTTCCTTTCCCTATTTAAATAACATCAGAGTGGTTCAGTAAGAAATGTTTTAAATGTGAATGTGGCAAGATTAGATGCACTCCTTTAAGTGTACCAATTATATATGTGCTGCTGTGCACTTATATATTATTATTATGCCTCCGGGAGTGGCTGGGTGGATCAAAGACTGCTGTTTAATTAACATTCAACTCAGCTGTTTCCTTGGAGATTAAAAATAGAAGACTAGTTGAATTAAACTGAAGCTGTTCACTCCTTTCTCTAATCCAATATTACAGAACCCTCCTCCCCACAACCTAGTTAGAAACAACTCATTTCTGGTTAATCAGCCACCAGGAAAATCCATTTTCAGTTTGAAGGTAAGTGTGAAAAAGTTGGAAAGACAGTTTTGTGTGCATGTCTGAATTTCACAGAATTGCCCATCATTTATATTTTGCATCCACAGTACAGTAAATCCTCATGCAATGCAAGGAGAAAAGAACCATCAGGCTTGACTATGAGCAGAACCACTTTAAATTCTTGCCTGTAATTATTATTTACTGTGTGAAGATTAAATGTCAACCATAAAACTTTTTTTTTTTTTTAATTCCTGTGCAGGAAAAGATCTAAGAGCTTTTCATTAAAATGCTACAGCAGTTCTCACATATCTGTCTCTGATTTTGTTAGGAGGAAAGAAAGAATACAGGTAGCAGGTATCCAGAATTCAGGTCTCTTAAGTCTGATTTCTTCTCTTAGACTTAAATAATAGTCAAGAAATAAAACCCTGGTACATTTACACTTACATCACTGCCTGTACACACTGCCTCTGCTTCCAAGCAGAACCACACCTTTTTTAACCATAGATCTGCTTCTCATCTGGACAGACAGCATGCACAGCCCCACTCCAGGCAGCACTGAGAATACCAAATAGCAGAATTAGCTGTGGTAATGGTATTTTGGGGGGGAATTTGTGCTCCTGGAGATGCCAGCAGTGGGTCTAGGACAGGGGCAGCAAACACAGATCTCACGGCAAAGGCTGAGGTCGGGGGTCTGTCTGGGCAGGGCTCCATGCTGTCCAAACCAGGTTATAATTGGAGATCGACTGCTGGATTTAATGACCTGCTGTTTTCATTAGGAGAAATATAAAAATTGGTCTTGAAAATGATTCAGCTGCTAGCATAGGTGCTTTTTAACAGGCTTATACCTCAGCCAGGAACAGCTTGGTTGCAGTCACTGACCCCTCACAGATGGAAAAAAAATGACCTCAGCTTTGCCTCTTTTCTGGGAAAGCTGTAGCTGGCAGGGGGATGAGAAACAAAAAGAACCTTAATTTTGTCCTTTAGTCATGCTAAATGAATGCACTGCACCAGACACCACCTTAAACTGGCTGAAGGGCACTGCTCAGTTTTGCAGGCAGCAGCTCAGACTGTGAGCATCATCCACAAGGGGACAGCATCCACATCCACACTGGAAAGATGCAGTTTGTGTCTGTGAGGAACAGAAAGGGGAGCAGCCATTGCTGAAAGCACCAAAAAATAATAATAATAAAAAAATTTAAAAAAAATAGAGAGAGAGAGAAGAAAGAAGAAGACATTTCCTGGATTATTACTTCTGGACGGAGAGGGAGGAGAGGTGAGACTGGACATGCATGTCGATATCAGAACCTGCTCAAATACAGGATCAGCCTTTTGTTTCTTAAACAGCGAGAGTGAGGTGATTTGCAATATTAAAGCAAACTTTCTGTGACAGATAAGGTCTCTCTGGAAGAACTGATAGTAATGTTAGGGAATGTGGTAAGAAGAATTAGATACCATTGGAGCAAAATCAGAACGTATCTAATGGGAAGAGAGAAATGCACTAATAGCAAGTGTTATTCTGAGTTTACAGCTCTCATCTTCAGATCCTCAGTGTGCTCAAACTGATTCATAACACACTCATTCCTTTTCCTTTTCTAGAAGTACAAGTTTCTTCATCAAAGTGCACATGGAAAGGATATTCATAAAAAATCTCTTAATGTAGGATTTAAATGACTTAAAAGAGTAACACTGTTAGAATGACTTGTGCCTAGTTGGAATGACCTACACCATAGCTCTGTGTGATTGTCTCTAACACCTTCTCACCTCACTGATGAACAGCAAGGGGATAAAGACTTCAGAAAAGTCCCACAGTTATCTAGCCCCAGATTTGCCATAAAAAAAATATCTAACCTTCTATTTTCTTGTCTAGAAATGCTACGTCCAGAATTCTTCTTGTAATTTAGTAACAGCGCCTTTTTTAACTGAACTGTAATTTCCACCTGATCATAAAGTATTGAATATATATATAGCCTACACAATTTATTACAGAAAGGAAATCACAGAAATAAAATTCCAGAGAAACAGCAATATCCTTCTCTTCCTACGCAAGCTCCATCTTACTCAAGAAATGCTATTATACCATCTCCTTGCTGACTTGTCAATTTACCTGCCCTTTATTAAAACACAGACATGACAGCAGAAATTATTGCAGTTTGAATTACTTTTTGTGTGAATTCTATTCAATAGACCTTGATTTTGCCAACACTTTCAATTAAAAAAGTAGTTGTATGTGAAAACAAACCACTGTGATATGTATACTTTTTTGACCTATGTTTCCTTGAGCTGTGAGAGCATGAAGTAATGAATGAATTGACTTTTCTATTTATGAATATTTTTTATACTGACTTCACTGATTGCTTTGTGTTACTACTTAATACAGCAGCAGCACAATATGAAGAAAGAAAGGGCGCAGTGCTAAAATGAAAATCCAACTGTTTAAAACCTGTTTTTCCCTAAACTGCCAGGTCTGCATTTGTAGTCTGTTCAATAAGAAAGATGTAATGTGCCAAGCACTATTTTAAAAATCCTGCTTCGCAAATTTTCCAGTATGACATTTTTACTGTTCTCTGACCTGTAGATATACCTGCACACACAGACACACATAATTGATAAAAACACGATATTACATAGAACTAGATCACCAAAATATGCTGTCTATTCCCAGAAGTCACCCCTCCATGTTGGTTACACTATTGTTGCAATCACCAGTGGGCCTGATCCTGAAATAAGGCAATACAAGTCCCTTTATTTGGGTGGATAATGTTTCTGAAATTACCTAAACAATTTCTCTGACTGACTGTGAAGTGTGTATTTGCCACATAAAAGTCCGAGTTTGTAAAAGGAAATTAAAGGTATTTGGTACATGCTGCAAACACTACAAGAATGTACAAAATTCTGCTGTAGGACAAAACACTCCTGTTTTCTTAACAATGCAATCTGAAGATAAACATTTGTGAGAAACATTCAGACACAACATTTCTACAGTGTTGTTTTTAGAGGTTTCAAAAGCAGTCTGGAGAAAAGGAAAGCATTCTAAGAAGAAAATACAAAATAGGTTCAATGCCTGCAAAACCGGAATATTTTAAATTTTCTAGACAGTGAAGGTTAAAGCTATCCTGCATTCTCATAGTTCTCTCTCTCTCCTTTCAATCAATCTCATTGATTTTTTTTAAAGGTCAGAGGCTATACCTTCATTGATCAAAGAAACAGCCTGACACAGCGAAAGAGTCTGCCAATTCCAGACAGATCAATCACACCTTTGTCTGCTTTTGATACATTATGGTTATTTATTCTGCATCACCACGACTTTCTGTCGCATGGCTCCTAATGTAATAATGCTGCTCGGGGACAACAATAAAAGAAAAGGGGGGAGGGGAAATATTCTATTTAAAATATTTTAAGCCTCTCTCTGGTATTTCTGAGGGTGGCTTATGATGGAACTTGGCCAACTTGTTTGATTTCATTTTTGCCTTGGAACTCCTGTTCTGGTATTTAGCTCATCTTGGTCAGCTCTTTGTAGGATTTTAAAAAGGCAATCTTTTGAAAACAATTTGTGCAAACTGTTTTTAAAAAAGTAATTGGATCTTGATAGAATAACAGTTGTGATCTAATCACAACCATAATTTTCCACATTTATGGACCATTTTAGAAATGTTTTAATAAATAGGATGTAACTGATACTTGGCTACAGCTACAGCTTTATGAATGTAAAAAGAAACTAATGGTCAGACTAAAATAATTACTAGGAAATATTGCTGAATAAACAGTTATAAGTGCTGAAAAGCTCCTGGCTTTGCAAACTATTATGCTGAAAGCCAGCTAAATCTTTAAAAAATTCACTATAAGCTCACTGTCTGCTATCACTGAAACTTCTATGCTATTATTTTGCTCTCCATAGCTCTTGCAAGAAGCCTCCTGTTGGTCTAATATCAAAACTTTTGTTCACACTTGGTAGCATATCACTTCACTAGCATTACTAGCAACAGTTTTACTGCTTAAGAAAAATCACTTGTGGGACTTGGGGTATTGGTTATAAGTAAAAGCATTAAAATAAACTTTAAAAACTGAAATTGTATCCTAAGAGAAGCCAGTGGTAACATGTCCAGTGACTGCAATGGAACAGGGACTTCACTGGAAGATGTTAATCTCAACTCCTTCAGCCCAATCTATCTGCAGTAGAAAAGGCAGTTTATGAGATTTCAAAGGACCCTGATTGTATAAAGATTTAAAAAACCTGACACATTTCTTATCAAAATAGGTAACAAAGCTGTGATGGGCCCTATGCAGCACTCAGTCCTATCAAACAAAGTGGAAGAGTTCCATAAAATTAAGCATGTAAATCTTTGCAGAATCAGGATATCAGATAATAAGACATAATCACCAGAGTTAGAACATTAAAATAAGATAAGCAATAATCCAAACACTTGGCATTAGTTTCTGATTTCATTGTGCCTGCTCTGTAAATTATTGTGCTTCCAATTTACAATTACATCAGCACTATTATGTAGAGCAAAAGGTAAGTGGTATACAAAGCTGAAATATTAAACCCATTAAAAAGTTATGAGTTTGACAGAGCCCCTACATGTATTTGCATTCATGCCAAGAAGTGCATTTGAAAACCTTTAAGGAAAGGAAACTGCCTTCCAGTGATAAACTGCAGTGCCTACAAGACATTGCTAAAATGCTACTGCCACTTTCAAAGGCCAAGAGACCTTAAGAATGTTTGCTGGCTGACAGCATTATACAAAAACATACAGTTTCTTCTGTAAAGAAATAAAGCTGAATGCACAACATTTCAAACAAGTTTTGAATAAGTCTATTTGTCCAGCTTACTTTGCAAAGGCTCTGAAGAAAACAGCACCATAAACACTTTCAGTCCCCACACAAGGGCTAAACAAAGAGTCCTCTTTCTAGCCATTTAATCCAGTAATTTATTTTTTCAACCATCACATAAATCGAAACACAGCTGTAACCAATGACTTGCAGATCCAGTTCCCTGCCAGCTGGATCCTGTTCTGCTGAAGCAGCAAGATTTTTACATTGTTCACTTCTGTACATCTGGAGAAATCATTTAGGTTCAAAGGTGACTAGAAAAGCTCTTTAAATAAACTCAACCAACAGTGAAGAGAGGCCTATGTATCTACGAAAGCCCCACAGAGTTCCATTTTAAAAGTTTTTCCTTTAAATCAGTGCACAGAGCAGTTTGCTTCTTTAACTATTTTTGATTATGATATTTTAATTGAATTCTAACTCAAATATACATTTTGATAACAAAGAAATATTTAGTATTTCCCATGAATTTTCAAACAATGTCAAAAGTGATCAGAGTCAACAGTGTGTGTATTTATCACATCAAAAGAATGACCAAACAAATATCAGTGTAGTGAAGAAAAAATATACCTCAATTAATGCATTTTAGCTGCTGCCTGAAATGCACCTCGACTTTAAATTAAAAAGAAAACAAACAATAAGAAAGCATATACTGTACTTGGATATGCTGAGCCTGAAATCTCTTAGAAGTCAGTCCTTAAAATAGCCTTACTTCAAAAACTCTGCCTCATCCCATACTGCAGGAGTCTGCAGGTTAAATACCAGAAATGTCCCTGACATTTTACACTGCACACAGAAATTGATTACAATGCAGCATTTCTTCCACCAAAGCAATTGCAAAGCAAACCAGCTGAATCTTTCAGAGGAAAATAACAATGAATATCAAAGGCTCATAAAATCTGTATCTTTGGTTACTTTTCAGGCAAAACAAGCACTCAAACGCATTGACAATAGAAGGGGTTTGCGTCTAGCCCAGGCCCCACTATCAAAAATATTTACAATACTGAAAGTTCTGATGATAAGTCTTATTTACAAATTCCTAAGCACATGCTCTCAATTACAAATTCAACTAAAATTTTTCTCTTTTTGTTTCTGTTGAAAGCAGGTGAGCTAGACACATCCAGAACATGCCCCGGCTGCTCAGGTAAAGACATAGTTCTTGTCCTGCACATTATTAAAAGGCATTTCAAAATTCAGCTACACTTCACTACTGTAATTGCTTCTTTTCCTCTTTTAGTACTTACTGTAATAGCTGCTTTGAAACAATGCTGATAAAAGTATCCTTTCTGCTTGCCTCTCTGGCCACATCTCTGCACTTCTTTGCCTCATTGCCAGTTATCTCTCCTCACAGATTAACTGAGGAGCTACCTCACCTTCAGCTCTTGCTTCTCCTTGTCAACTCTTGCCTGTACTCATAATTATAGGAATGCTATCTGTGTGCTCTGTTGTGAAAATAGGAGCATTAAAAAAAAATAAAGAAGGAAAATAAAAGCTAGATAAACCAGATAAATCACCCGCAGAAATTAACATGCACAACTCATAACCAAGTAATTACCACATCACTCCAGGGCAAACTTCAGAGTATTTAGACATGCATTTCTGTCCACTAACATGTATAGATTCACATAAACATGCTAAAATTAAAAGTATCTGGTTTTCAGTTAATTACCATGTATCTGGAAAGCTTTCTCACTTCAGTTTCTAATGTGAATTTACTTGTAACTGTGGCTGAGATTTTGCTCGATAACCAAGGTAAGTGTCACAAAAGGAAGAGAATTTTGTCAGAACAGAAGCCATCAGTGCCCAGTGAGTGAGGCTCTGCAGGGCTTGCCATGATCAACTTTGCCAAAATCATCATACCCATTCAACAGCATAAACTTCATTTGCCACCCATTTCTTTTGTTTCACCACCAGCAACCCTCTGTAGTTCAGATTCTGTCTTGCCAAAACTGTTTTACTCAATAGGCAAAGGGAAATTAAATTTCTATCAGGATTTATTATTCAGTTCAGACATCATCTCTGATCCATGATGTGACATTGCCTGTTTTCTGCCTGCCTGCCTTGGGTTTCAGGTAAGTTGGGTTGGGGTAACTTGAAGTCACAATCTGAAATACACCCTTGGAAGGCCTGTGACAGACTAGGAAAAGTAAAGTAGCCTGGAGGGAGGTGTTCCTATTTTTGTTAGCTGCCTTTGGCTACTTAAAAGACCTCTCAACTCTCTCCCATTGCAGTTGGCAGTACAGATGGTATTCTGATTTACCTAGAATATAACTCCCATGGCAGATCCTGAGGAGGTTTCAATATATATCTGGTTTAAAACCTAAGCTCTGCTGAAAGAGTCTCCCAAGTGGAAATCCAACTCACCAAACTAGGAAGACCAAATCAGAGATTCTGAGATCCCAAAGGCCAATGTCAGAATGTGCTAAGCCAGATATTCCAACAATCTGCATTTTTGTTTGGCAAATGTTATGGGCACTTCTACCTAAGAGTTTGAATAGTTATGCTTCTCTTGTATAAGGCATTTACTTATGCCAATTTAAATTGTGGAGAATTCTTTATGTAACCTGTACCACTGGGTACTTGCAGCATGGATGAGCAGCTCACAAAGCCTGGAGTGCCAGACTTCACATCCATCTCCTGTCTTAAAGACAGAGCTTGTCAATAGGGACTGAATGGGGGGACAGAACCTGCTGCCATTTAAAGATGAGTGATGTTGACAATCATTTTTTTGGCAGACTCCTGCTACCATGCAAGGTAGCAATTCCCATTTGCCAAATCCCAGTGAGTGCAGACCAAGACCTGCAGCATAAATCAGGACATCTGCCTGAAGTGATGGTCCTTTCTGCTTTCCCTCCTGAGCTGGGTCATTTGTTCCTCCACCTTGTTTGTGCTGACACTTGCCTCTCACAGCTGCATCCTAAAGCAGATTAGGGAACTGTCCCAAACAGCAAATCAGAAGAAATACAAGATTAGTTTGCAGCAGGATCAATCCTTCATCTGGCTCATTTAGCAGTCATGTAAACAAAGTGCCAGCACAAAAAGCCAAGGGGAAATGAATGCCACTAGCAAGAGGATGGAGTTCTTCTTTCAGTGGCAACCAGAACCCAGGCAGAATATACATGGCCTTGCACCTAGTTGGAACCAGGAGCTGTATGAACCTGGGCTTCTCCAAGTCAGCTCCTTAGGACACTAAAGGTCCCCATATTCTGACTATGAAGTAGTGTTGCTATCCTCCCTGGCATCTCTGCTGAGTTCTGCAGCACAAAAGTAAAAATACTTTCTGCTGCAAAAGTATGTGACTGTTTTACAGCCAGAGAGAAATTAGAAGCTACAGCCAGGGGATAAAAGACTAGACACTCCAGGAAGTATCATGTAGAAGGGCTGTTCAGGGTGGTCAGAATAGTAAATGAGATATTAGCAACAGTCAAGCAATACATCAAGGCTGTAAATAACTGTGAAATCAAGTATTAACAGTAATCATACAACACACAGAGGCGGTGCTCAGAGATTCCAGTACACTTGAAATGCAAATTACAGTAGAGCTAAGGGTAGTTGTGACAACAGACTTAAGGCAAAAAAATTAGATCTCTAATTTTCAGACACTATGAAGAAATGTATTTGAACTTTGCCAAAACAGGCTGAAATGTACCATATACATATAATTACTTGTACAGTCTTCTCTTGCATGTATCTCATTCCACTTACCCTATTTATAATAGTGTTCTCAGTCAATTATTTACAAAGATAAAATGGACAGGCTTAGGGTTTTCATAAAGTCCATTATAGCCATAAAGCATACAGAGAGAATCAATAAATGGTATATTATCTCCACATAGCATTCAGCATTTTCCTGTCTTTTATTTTAGTGGGGGTTGGAGAGGGGAAGGGGTAAATAACATGCCTATTACTGATGTAGTCCGTTCACTTTACACTGGATTGTGATGCACACACCACAAGGCAAACATATGCCTTTTCCTTCACAAATAAAGTGCCATCAGTCACCACACCCGTGTTTGTAAATCTTTTCCGAGATGCTGTGTTCTCACACGTGCAATTTGAGAGCAACAACATAAGATGAAACATATCATTGTGAAACATATCACATCCAGGACTTATGAAAAGGAGGGAGGGGGAAAAAAAAAAGGTGGAATGGCACTACCCACAGTTAGGTTTACATTGTGCCCTGAATTCCTAAGCAGAACATCTCAGCACAAGGACTGAGCATTTCAGCCCCCAAAGGGCCATGCCTCTCCAGGGATCAGAGCATTTGCAAGTGCATGGGGATTCCATGTGACGCAAGCGTGTGGCAGACTCTGCCTGGGAGCCCACCAGCTGGCTGGAAGAGACCAGCAACATGTGCTACCAGGCAGCTTAAAGAATTCTTGCACAGACAGAAAATAAACTTCCCACGTCCGTGCTCATTTACCTTTAAAACAGCCCCCAAAACATAACTACTTTTGTAATAAAGTAAATTTGACCCATAATATTGGCTCGAAGCACTTTGTTTGCATAGCCTCAAAAGAATATGTTCTTGAGCATAATCCTAGGGAGATGTAGGCATCAGAGAATACAGCTATCTTTTCTATCTTTTCTTAATTTTTGATTATTAGGTTGCAATGGCAGCTTGAAAGGCACAGTTTCCCTTGTGAAATCCATCTGTACAAAGTCTTGCCTTCCCAGGATCCAAAAGTGCAATTTGTGACAGCAACACAAAGACATTGAGCAAATCCTCCTTAACACACCAGTTTTCTCCACAAAAGCTGTGCTGCGCTTTGAAAACACTTGCTTCCATGCAAGCAGAAGATATGACTGCAGGATAACCAGCAATAGGAGGAATATAACTCCCAATCCCTCATGTAACATAAAAACGGCCATAATGGGTTAAATCCAAGAGCCTTCTCGCTCAGCATCCTGTCTCCAACACTGCATATAAATAGATGCCAAAGGTCTTCCTTTGAATCAGACAAGCACAGATGATCCTTCTAACAAAAGACTGTGAGGTGACTAGAAGGAAAAGGAACAGGTTTGTATATTATTAAGAGAGACTCCAAGTGAGAAAAATGAAATATCACAGAATTTTGCAGTCACATTTTTTTCAGGAACTGAAGGGTGACAGGGAGGGGGTTAATGTGCTGTTCTCCAAAACCCACTAAAACTTCCCTGTTCCCAGCTCCTCTCTGTTTTCCGTGGATACCATTACAGGGATTTCAAAGCCTCTTTGCAATTCTTTCATAAAGGTCAAATTCCACACTCTGTTCAACATGAGCAGTGGTAACTGCACTGCCTTTGAACATCAGCTCTCTGGTGCAGGGACTCTCTTGTTACCAAAACGGGAACTGCTTCATACAGTCAGAGCCTGGAGTCTGCTGAGTGCAGATACCCAGATGACAAAGAAGCAAAGCCAACAAAACCCAACAACAACAGCTAACCAAGAGAAATTATTTTTAATAATTTGGGGGTTTTTCTCTCTATCCAGGGATCTCTTGGAGTCTATCTTGGGAGATTTGCAAAGATAGAAAAGTTATAAACAAACCCTGAATGACAGGATCACATATTTCAACTACATCTGGAAAGTTCAGAAAGCCACTTTGAAGATACTGTCTCTAGGTGAGTCTGATAAACATAGTTAAAAGTTCTTGTGCCCTACATGTCATCAAATACACCACTGACAAGTTTAAAGATACCTACACCACTAATAAAATGTACAGGATGCTGAGTAAATATATGTTACATTTCTGAGGCATAGAAGTTTGTCATAAAGCCTTGAGCCAACAATTGAGAGCCTTATAGTCTGAGTTCTTATATATCTCCTTTATTAGACAGAAACATACCTCTGGACAGCGTACAGACACCATAAGCATAGTTACTTGAAAAATTATTTGCCAAAATTTTCTTACTGTATTTTAGTTAGGTAACTGCAGCCTTCATGGGCTGAAAACAAAAACCTGTAATCAAGCCAAATATCTAAGTCTCCAGATTTATGAAGTGGTTCAATGCAATGCAGAAGTGGCAGGCTGCTTTCCTAAATCCACCTGCATGTGAAGTGCCATGTGTTTTTTTTTTTTTTCAGAGAAAAGTGGCCCTCTTAAGCCTTGATGATATTTCTTCAAAAGCAAGATGAAGCACAGTATTTTTTCAGCCTGCCTTTACACTTGCTTCTTTCTTAGAATCCAGCAAATAAGTCAACAGGCATTTTCATTGTTCAGTAAGGAGCATCAGAAAGCATGAGGCAAAGAATAAATGAGGACAGGTTTATAACTTCTACCTCTCCATCAATTCTTACAGATTTCAGTTGTTTAAAATTTTCTTCTTCACTCCTGTCACTACATTAGCTAGTGAACTCATAGCAGCAGCTTTTAATTTTAAATACCAGGCATTCACACCTCAATAAATGTGCAGCAAATTACACTACATCAGCACACAGTTTCCCTTTGTTCACAGGGAAAACTGCTTCTAAAACTGTCTTAGGACTCATACTCTTGGATTCCCAGATTTTTTGGGCAAAGATGCACCAAAAATATTATGTTTATTATTAATCTAATTTATTAATATTTTTGTATCATTTTTGGGAAAAGAAAAATAAATTATATTGCATTCCTTTGAAACCCAACATCCATTTGAAGGAAAAACCCAACCCAAATTAAACAGTATCAAATTACACTACCCATTCATTCATTTGGATTCTTGGTACAATTATTAGTGCTCATGATTGGGAACCCTGGACTCCTCTCACTCCTCTAGATTTTATTCTGTTCTTAAGAGACAAAATTTATTTGAATCATTGTCTAATATGAGAATAGGAATTTTCTTTTGATTTGTAAGAGTTTCAAATGTGATGTTGTTAAGTGTGGGAGTGAAATCTACAGAATCAATGTAACATTTCAGCTTATTACTCAAAGGTTAAAATAAACTTGAGGGAACAATAACATTTCTTTCACAGATCACCTTTTCACTTCAAAATAAATCAAGTAAAGGTATTTCAAGCAAAGAGATCTCAAGTAAAGGGTTTTTCCATATAAACCCAGTCAAGTAATTCATTAAGGTCATCTGAGTCCTCTGCTTCAGGACTGAAGCCAGAATTTACCCAAATTGGCATGAACAACAAGCTTGCACTACACATTTTCCTACAGGAATTTTCTCCACTGATGTAACCTATATGAAAACAAAGTGTAGGAGACTATTTTCTCATTTACCATTGCTACCAGGGTACAGGCAAAATTAGCCTAAAATGAAATGTACCAGTCAAATTAATTTTTATTAGCTCCTCCCACTCTTGCCATCTTGTTATCAGAAACACTTTGATAATGTGGAGGGATTTCAGAAAAAAAAAGAACAAAAAATCTTTAAAAAAAAAGGTTTTGATTAGGCCAACATAGTCTGGAGAAGAACTGTCAAGAGAGATGCTCTATTTTAAGTAAATGTTTTAGGCATTTGCACAACAGTCTACAAGTATTTTTTTGGCAATATCTCCACAGAAAAAGTGGAGTTTTTCCATAAAGATCCTATGCAGAAGTGAGACAGAAATAAGAATTTCCAATTGTGTAAGAAGGAATTCTTTTTCACAATGAAACACTACTTCAAGATAATGGCTATCATGTGCAAAACTAGCTTAAACCAAACACAAGCAGGGACTAATCCTTCACTGAATCCAGAAAGCAACATGGATCACTTTTAGCTTTAGTTCTTAAGGACTTTCATACAAAAATAAGGAAGCCAAATTGTGATATCAGTGGTGAGAATCAATAGAGAGGAGGCACCTCAGAGCATGGCAGGAGTTCAAGGTTTCATCTGCCTTGATAGGGACTGAAAGAACATCACAACAGCAACATCCCAGTGGGAATTCTGCAACCTGCCCTTCCAGAGAATTGAGGTTTCTATGAGAATATGAAAATATTGTAAACTGTAGAAGAGAGCAGGAAGTAATTACAGACTCGGAGGACTATTCATTGACAAAAGAATGATGAAACCTTTTGATGTTGAAAAATATTTAGTAATTTAGAGGAATTTTCAAGTATGTAAAAGAACATAGACCAAATAATGAATAGAGTGATGCATGGATTTGCCTCAGAGTTAAGGGTAACTGTGAAAAGACTTCAATTAATTTCTTTGACCTGGGGTTTTACTGAGATTCTTTGCTGCAATTTTAATATGGAACAACCTGGCAAAATATGAGACAGCTTTGTAACCATAGGTAAAATATGGACCTTTTCTTTATGCTGAACAGTAGATATATGTCAGCATGCTCAACTCATACTCAGTTCAAACCAATTTAGTAAAAGAGGATAAAATCATAGCATCAGAGAATCATTTAGGCTGTAAAAGGCCTTTAAGATCACCACTGCCAAGGCCACCACCAAACCATGTCCCTCAGTGCCACATTTCCATGTCTTGTAAATACCCCCAGGAGCAGGGACTCAACCACTTCCCTGGACAGCATCTGACCTCCTGCCTCTGCCCCTGTGAAATCTTTGGCACCAGAAGCTCCATCAGGGAATGAATCATGGCCACTTTAATGAGCACCTTTTAATGGATTTCTGCAAATCCTCTTTTTTCCAAATATTTTTAAAAGCACTGTTGTTTAACAACTGCACAAAGAACTTTTCTCCTTGAAATCTATTTTAATCAGTTCTGTACATAAAACTAAAAAAAAAAGAGGATGCTCATTTTACTCTTTCCTTCCTCTCCTCCCACGTGTTCTGCTTGGAGGTACACTGTGTAAAGATCCCTGCTGTGGGTGTGTGACTGTCCATGGGAACACTGGCACGGTTCTGGTACAACTGTGCAGTTAATTTTTTACAGCATATGAGATTTACTATTACCCTCACCTTTGGACTGGAGAGAGACACATGGAGCCCAGCAAATGCAGGGGATGCAGTCAGGTTAATTACAGGGATAACCCTGCAAACTTTAGCTGCGCTAAGTAATAACTAAAATGTAAGCAGGGAACAAGGACTGTCCTGAGAAATCCCTCAGCTCTTTACACAGCGGCAAAGATGGTAAATCTTGCCCCACAGAGGGAACAGTGAGACTGAAGGGCTCAATTAAGACCTTCACTGACACTTTTCCACTACGGATTTTTGAGAAAGAAGAAGAGTCTCTATGGGATGCTCAGCACCCTGAATAATAGTTGATACTAGAAGCAATTTTATCTTGGTTTGACTTTACACATCTAAATTGCTTTCCCAATGTAAGCACCTACAAGTTTGGAACCTTCTTGCATAGACTAGCATTTAGTTACTTATTTAATGAAAAAAATGTGTTATACCTGCATAGAAAAAATTTATGTCCCCTCACTTTTGCCAAATCCTCACTCATTCTACATTAGAAAGAGGCACAACATATCTATTAAGAAATAGGCTATTTTCTTCCTCTTGTTGCTTATTTCTTCTCCATCACAGCAGTCAGAATAAGAGAAGATGCTGCATTATATACAATTGGCTGTACTGGATGTAGTTGATTGCACAGACAGGGTCATATTGCCATTAATTCTTGTTTTTTGGAGAAATTCTTTTTATTTGGAGAAATTATAAGGGGAAGGGAAAAGCTGATGAAACTTCAACAGAGATCACAGGTTGTATTGAGTTGTCCACAATGACTTGATCTCTTTTTCTGGTATTTCTAAATTAATTTAGTACCCAAGACAGGTCATAAATAGTTCAAATTACTTCTTTCAATGCCTGCTAGCTTTCATACTGTTGAATTTTGTTTGACATCATGTCATCCACTGCTGTAGATCTCAGGGATCCCTTTTGAAGTTCCCCACATAGTGTGTTTTAGATCTGAGCAACCCAGCTAATTGTGACATTTGCAGGTGCTGCCATCTCATTGCCTAACTTTCTTTCCATTATTTCCATGGATTAAATAACAAACACCATAACATGAAGCAGTGGAGCAGCCCACTTAATCTTTCAGTCTCAGTGGAGGACGACTATATATTTTTACTCTAGACTTTGTCATCCAGCCATTTTCACTCCATGATGAGGATTTTCCTCTCCCCCAGTGACTACTTAACTTCCTTAACAGCTGCTCCTGTGGAGAAAACTTTTGAAGTCCAAATATTATGTTGACTGATTCATTTTCCCCTTCTTTTCTAATAATTGGTTTAAAAAAGAAAAACATAAATAAGAGAGCTAATATAATAGTAAGGAATTAATATCTTTTCCAAAAAAATACCTAGTAACTATGATATTAGCATTTCAGCATCTTACTTTAAATAGAGTTCTCCTCAATTCCCAGTCTTTATTTCTTCCTATTGTGCAGAAATAAACTTCACTAGATTAATCTGTAACAGCTTTCTGAAAACTTGTCACAGTATTATTCAATTCTTCAGTAGTGAAGAGTCATTACTCTTCATTTGTCGATAAACTAAAACGTGGCCACATATAAAAAAGAAATCTTTGTAATCTTTACCACATTATTCCAAAAAGTACATTTCTTTAATGTAAGAAGGGAGAGGTATTGCCACTTTCACAGACCAGAGAGAATGAGACCTTTTAATTACATTAGCATCCAAATATAACAAGCAAAGTCACTCAAATCAGAATACAAATCCACACTCCTAGGCACTTTTTAATCTTAACTTTTCTGTATTTCTACTACTTTTATAA